AAAGTTCAAAAAAAAAACTTGGGTGTCCGCCGCTGAACCGGCCATGCAACTGGCTGCCTGCGGTCCTGGTACCCGGAGCGACACTGCTGTTGCCCTGTGTCACCCAAAGAGGCCGCCCATCGACGTCCTGGTCCATGCGTCGGAAACCAGGATCGAAGAACAAGGGGGCACACTTCCATTTTAGGAAATCTTCCCCGATAAGGAAACCGGTCCCTTCGCCTCAGCCTGCTCCARCGGTCTTCGGTGGGGTCTGCTACGAAAAATGGCCGTCGACGGAGACGGCCATTTCCTGGAAACCGTTTTCCGTTTCCAGACAATTGCCGCAAAGCTGTGGGGTCCACCTCTAAGTCTATGAAGCTACCTTCCAAGGCTCATGAGCCTGCAACTGCACCTTTTCAAAGTGGCCTGCCGCTTTTGCTTCCGGCCCAGCCCCTTATTGAAATGCTCTTCCCGGTTTTACTCTGCTTCAGGTGAAGTGGAAGTTTAAACCACCAGTACCTACCTTATTTTTCGTACCCCCAGCCTCAAATGAATCTGGAATGAAGGGGCAGGCCGATTCGCCTTCCGCATTAACTTGAACAGCCGCCCCAACAGGTAGGTACTGGCGGTTTAACTACTGTCAGCATTCGAGAGCACTCCCAATTTTTTTCTCCGACTCGGATTGAGTTTTGTGGGGAGGCTTTTTGCCAACAGTTCATGGGTCTTCCACTGAACTACGTGGGCATTGTTCTGACCTCTGAGGGCATTGTTCTGACCCTACGGTACGGCTCTTTCAGCTGATCTCTGGACTCACTAGGGTCTTGCCACACGCCCGTGAAAATGAAAGCAAGGAACTTGCAAATAGTGAGGCCTCGCGAAGGCTCGAGTTCGTTTTTTTCTTTTTTTCCCTCTCTTTGACGTGACGGCCACACAGCACACGCGAATCACAGTGAGTTTTCTCCTTCACACCTCCGATGTGAACCCTCTTTTTTTTTTTTTTTTTTTTTTTTTTTTAACAGCCCTCGCGGATGCTAGGGGTGCTGGTAAGAGCA